GCTGCTCCCACGCCGCCCACTATTCACTGACTGTGAGACTGCTTGTAGGAAGTGTGAGGTGACGACTGTATGACATCGTGTGATGGATAAAGTATCTTTGTGTTCAGCTAGCATCTCTGAGTGTCACAACTCACTGAATGTGCCTTGAGAGATTACGCAAGTGAATGATTTGACACGATATCAGAAGTGGCTCAGAATCGTAATTGTTAGTGTTTATGCTGCAGTTTCTTGTTTCCTTTATTGCAAAGGTGTAAGATGAAGGTAGTGAATTCTTTTGGGAAGCATCTTTGAGACTACTTTTGAAGTGACACACTGTGTTTTTGTTTTCAGTCTATTATCTTTTTCCTATGTTTTCATGATTTTCCTTTGTATGTAGATTTGTCCATCTCTTGATGCACAGGTTATTTAAAGTTTGCGTTCTTGATGTTTTGTCGAGTTAGCTCTTGTTTGAAGTAGGCTTTGTTGTTATTTCGTCTGCATCTATATTCCTCAACCTTTGAAGTGGTCCCTTTGAAGTCATGTTGCAGAATTAACATGAGTTGCAGTAAATGAGTTGCTGGAGTACCAATGTTTTCTTTAAGATATTCTGCGTAATCTTCCGTCAACTCTTTGTAAATGACACCTGGCGTTACAAGTTTAAAGCACCTCCCTTGGAATGTTCTGACGAAGAAACCAGATGAATTTATCCATCTGATTTCCTTTAATCAAGACAAAGTAATGATAGTTTCTTAAACCGAAGTGTTGCAAACAATTATTGTTGGAAGTTCAGTAACTTAGATTCGATTCTAGTAACACCTTTTTTCCAAACGCATTTCAAAGCTTTCTCCTCGTTATGCAAATCCATAAAATAGTTCGATACGTGAACATCTGATTGTTTGGGTTGCAGAACTCCGTCACACTTGTCTTTTAAGCTTGTTAAAAATGTCATGATAAGCGGTCTGAAAGACATAGTTCGATAACTCTTGCGGAGTGGAAGCCTTAACGATTCACCCATTCAAGCCTGACTTTTGTGTTTGGAAAAAATGGACTTTTTGGTTGTGCCCTGGTTCTAACTTCCTTTTTGTTGCTTTGATAATTTCATTATTATTAAGCATTACACTATTATCGCACTCATCATTATCTATATATCTTCCTTCGCCCTTCTCACCTCTCTGGCAGACATTAAAATTGTATCCAGAACAGATTCACACTTTGTTAGGCTCTGCTTTTTCTGCTATTTTGGACACCCTGGGGATTATTGCGTAACGCCGTCTAGATGAACACACAAAAATGGTTTCATTATGCTCTCTAGCGTCATTTTAATAATACAATTCCATCTTCATATTAACAATATGGCGCTACTTACTGCTAGTACTTATAAGTTCAATTGCACACTTCCCGCAGACGATATAATTGAAAAGCGGATTTTTCCTTCGATGAGTTGTTCTCCCTCTTTTCTATTTGTCAGTGAACCTTCTTCAATGTGTTTAACTTGAAGCTCAAAAGACGCTGTAGAAACAACTGTCCTAATATTCCAGTTTACTTCTTCAATCTCTGAGCGTCAGGATGAGGTGATAACCATCTTAAATTCTGTTGTTTGAGATACATTTAAGAGTCTATGACAATATTTCATCTTAGCAGTTGATCTATATTCAATATACTCTATAGAGTCACTAGTTTATTCCTTTATAAATACACATTACTTACTATTGATGTGGTTAAAACTCACTGAAATTTTGGCATTTAAAGAACGTAATTACCTGATTAATCATCTGCTTACCACAGTTCTAAATGATATCTGTATGGTAAGTATATTGTGTACTCTCACCTACGGTGAATTCAGATACTGTGTTAATATCATCTATGAAGTAAACATTTAATATACGTATATTTGATCATATACAACCAGTGCTTATGTACATATCTGTGCACTAGGTTATGAGCAAATCTTATAATTACCGGATAATTCTAGCACCCAGTTGCATGAACTTTGGTTGGCGGGCACTGATTTCCATCCTATTACCCACTAGTGGAAATTCAAGCATATAAACCAACAAATTAAAATTATATTACGTAATTAAATGAACATACTAGTTCGCTTTTCTATCTATTGATCAATCTCTAGTCCGCTGTAAAAGCAGCGCTCAATACCGTAGCCGACTCCCAAATAGTGGCTAAAAAGAGCCAGTGGATATGAGCAGCTTCTTCCGAACTAATGGATGCACGTGAACGCATCCCTGCAGACTGTGAGTACAATGAAGAGCGAGCGCAACTTAGATGTAGACTGATGAAAATACTACGCAACGATCGAGGACAGTGGTGAGCAGCGAAGGCTAAAGTGATGGAAAAGGCAGTGGTGATTGGTAACAGTAGACAGTTATTAAGACTTATTAAGGAGACTGTGGGGAAAAGGTCAACTGCGGTTATTGAGACCATAGTGGAGAAGGACGGATCTGTGATTCACTCGCAGAGGAGACGACTGTAACGATGGGCAGAACACTTGGAGGAAGAGTTAAACTGGTCTCCAGCCACCATTGGGTTGCCTGCTATCCAGTTGGATCGTGGACGAAACATTGAGATAAGTGCCTCAACACTTGCAGAAGTCGAGAAAGCAGTAGGTAACTTGAAACGAGGAAGGTCGGTAGGACCATACGGACAAACTGCTGAGGTACACAAGAATGGTGGTAGAGTGCTCTTAGTCAGGAATCAAATACGATCCCCTGTGACTGGTGTAAGTCACTGATTATCCCAGTCTTCAAGAAAGGCGAGAAGTCCTCTTACGATAACCACAGAGGAATCAGCCTGACGAACATAATGTTTACGATTTTAGGTTCTATAATCATCAGACGCCTGAGTGGAGCTCAGGAACAGTAAGCCCGAGGAAACCAGGCAAGCTTTAGAGCCGACCGCGGGTGTATCTACCATATGTTAACACTGCACCAGGCTTCAGAACACAGACACGCTTACTGACGCCCGACACTAGCTGTATTTTTCGATGTGAAAGCGGCATTCGACTGTGTTGATGGAGAAGTCTTATGGCGATGTCTGTCACTGAGAGGCGTGCCGAGTAAGTACATCACTTTATTGAAGGCTCTCTACTTGAACACTTGTTGGCGTGTTAGATGATGAGATGTCCGGAGAGTTGTGCTCATCGAGTGGTGTCCGTCAAGGCTGCTCACTCTCTCCATTGTGATTCGATTTTATCATAGATATTCTTATGGAGTTTTCCCTTTCGTCATCTGACTACACAGAGATTGACCTAGTCGGTGGAGAATTTTCGTTAGACGTAGAATACACGGATGACATAGTCCTGTTAGGTGAAGACGCTGTCATGATGCAGAGTCTTCTGAAGACTTTGAGTGGGAATTTGAGAATGTTTGGGATGCATTTCTCACCACCCGAATGCAAATTATTGCTCCCGGATTGGACTTCAACAGTGTCTCAGCTAACAATAGAGAGTGTAATGGTTGAGTGTGTCGACTGCTTCACTTACCTGGGAAGTGGGATCAGCCCTAGTGGCTCAGTGGCCGACGAAATTTCTACACGAATACAGAAGGCTTGACTGGCTTTCTCCAACTCACACCACTTGTGGTGCCGCTGTGATATCCGTTTGTCTATTAAGGGTCGCGTGTACTGCACAGCAGTTCGCTCTGTTCTACTCTACTGTAGGGCTGTGAAACATGGCCATTGAAGGTGGAAGACATGAGAATGCTTCAGATGTTTGACCACTGTTGCCTTCGTAGTGTAGGACGTATTCCGTGGTGTCACCACTTGAGTAATGCAGAAGTTAGGTGTAGAATTTTAGGGAGAAGAGGTAAATCAGTAGACGAGGTTATAAACCTTCATCGATTGAGATGGTTGGGACACGTGTTACGCATGCCTTGTTGCCGTCTACCCCGTCACACAATATCGGCTGAAGTAGGCCCAGGCTGGAAGAATGCTCTAGGTGGTCAGACTAAAACATGGCATCAATGTATGAAGTCCTTCCTTGACTGTTGGTTTGAGCTATGTGAGGCTATGCAGAGTGGGTGGTTGGGGTCCGCGGGAGAAGAGGAACCAATGGTTGGAGACTCTAGGCGATATGTCTCAGAAGCGATGTCAGTGGTGCAGATGTATACACACATTATCCTCATCTTAACGACGTTATACTGAATTTCACCATTTCCCCATTCTTCCTTTCTCTCTTTTCGTGCTTCACATTTCTTTTGACTGAATTTTCTTTTCTTCATCTTCCACTTCACTGCCTTTTTACTTGATGTGGTGATATGAGGTGTGGCGAATCGGACTATTACTCAGTAATGCTTGGTCCTATGTTGATTTGGATGGATGATCTATGTTATTATGTTATTTAACTGCCTCATGCATGATTCCTACTGCATTGTAATAAGAACGTATCTCTTAAATGTTTGTGTGGTTTTCATCTTGCAGTTAGGAAATGTCAAACTGTTGCTTTCAAAGTCCGGAGTTTTAGTTGATTTGTAGAATTAATTGTAACTGCTGATCGGAGCCTTGGGGAAAACGTGAAATTTCCGACTTGAGTCTTAGGAAAGCAAGAGAGAAATAGGCGTAAATCGATTGACATGGGATAGGTGACACTGTTCTTGATTGTCTTTGTAAAAGTAAATGACATTTTCTGTTTCGTACCGTGTTTTTATTTCCTTTTGAACTCATTAGCCTTATGATAATTTATGGTCACACAGCTATATTTGTTCCCTTTTAAGCTGTAATTTTCAAGTTAATGATACTCTGTAAATTGCATCTACTTCATTTTCGTGTTTACCACATTTCACTCCTAGGTGTACTCATTGACCGTTACAGCTTCATTACTTCGTGCTTATTATTACTATTTCTGTGTGCTGTATCTGTGGGAGTGCTGTGGTGTCTACCGGAAACACAGTCACTCAGTACTCAGGTTAGTGACCATTGTTCTCCTGATAGCCATTTTGACCCCATGGGGAGTCAGAGTACTGTTGGATTCCAGTCAAATGACTATTTAGAATTGAGTGAAAACAGTTGGCTGCTCAAAATGACTGCTATGTTCAATGTAAGTTGTCATTTGAAATATGTTTTCAGTTCTTCATAATTGTTTAGCGGAGTATAAGAGTAAAACTTGGGCACTGTGGTCGATTGTAATTCCATTTTAGTGTGTCTGTTAGAAATATCACACAGTGAAACAGTAGGATTTAGTGGATAACGTTTCGGACACAATTTATTGTCCATATTCATATCAGGTGTCATAGATATTTTATTTGCTGCTTACTTGAAATCAATACTCCTGGTTTTGTCGTAGGGTTGGCATTTGTAGTAGTTCATTACTTTAGAAGAGCTTGATCTTAGTAGAAATCCTCCACCCTCTTGTAATATTCTGCCAATATATAGTTTAAAGTGTCATGATAAGTTACTAACGGATAGGTAACTGAATGAACAGCCAAATATCATTAACTTCCAAGATATCAGAAAGGCAGAATATATACATACTAGTGGTAACATTCACGAATCAATGCATGACTTTCAGTCTTTTCAAACATTAAGAGCATTTCTCTTTTTGAAAACAACATTCAGTAAATCCATATTGGTTTAGTATATTTTATATAGCACACAGTGATTGTAGTAATATTTAGTATATAACGTTTCGAGCACAATTTACTGCTCATATTCATTTCAAAGTAATCACACGACTTTCTGCCCCAGTTTTAAAGTTCTACTGCTTTGCATAATTTGGTTTAATTGGTAGTTGGATTTTCATTATATGTGAAATCGGTGTTGTATCATTCCTATTGTAAGTGTTTGGTGTTTAGTATATGAATAGGGATTAAGTGATCGACCTCATTCTCTAATTAGCTCTATTGGCTTTCATGGCTGTTCCTCTCCTCCAAATTATTTTGTGGTTGTATGTATTTGTATACATATGTGACTAGATTCTTCTGTAAATTACTCGTCTCAATAGGTTTTGACGTTCTAGACTTAGCTAGGTTCCTATTTTGTGTTACCCTGAGTGACCCCATTCGACTGGTTTGACCAATGTACTTGGCCTCACGATCATTGTAAGGTGTTGGTAAATTAACTTTTGTCTTCTCGAAACGTTATCTGATAAATAACCCGTATCGATGCGTGCAATGTTAAATGAACAGATCTAATATGGAATCACATCACAACACAGTGCCCGAATTCTATATTTACATTAATATTTAGTACTTCATCTCTGAGCTGATTGGAGGCTAAACTGTCTGTTACTTTCGTTTGAAAATTTGTGCATAACAATTTGTAAGTCGCTGTTGTTGCACGGAATCATTGCTATTCTCTACCATAAATTCCTAATTATTTAGCTTCTGTTTTGTGCTTGATAATTTTGGTTGCTTTGTATCCAAATCATGCATGACTTTACTTTGAAAAATGCCATATCTTTCTACCCATCGTTTTTCCTGTAGCACATAGTCATGAAAACTCAAGAGCCACTAACCTAAATTGGGCAATGAATTCTACATTTTACTGATCATTCTTAGGATTCTTGTATAATGATCATCGGTTAAAAGCGTATATAATGAAAAACCGCCCACAGTAGCCAAACTAGGCAATAAAAGTGAATAACATGTTCATAGTAACGATATAGGTGTGCGATGGAATAGAGATTATGCATTATAAGTAAGTAGTAATGATTAGTGATAAATCAGGAGATGAATACTGTGTTTAGTATAGATAGACAATTGTTGTTTTAAAACCTACCGAAGAACAGCCACATTATTCAACTCGCTAATTCCATCGGTCATCTGAACGATTCTACATTTTGGCTAGACGCCTAACTTAAGCATACCGTAAATGTCATATGTCGTAGTATAGGCCAAGATGTCAAAGTGATATTGCTTTCCTGCCAGTTGTTTCTTGTACTAAAGCCTTCCAGCGAAACATCTCACTATTATTATTATTATTTATCCCTTGGGTTCCTAGTGGAACATAGGGCTTCAGTAGCATGCCTCCATTGCACTCTGTTCTCTGAAATCTTTTGAACCTGGCTCCACGACAGCCCAGAAGCTGTCATTTCTTCCTCACACCATCTCCTTCATGTCACCCTCAGAAGCCCAACTCGCCGTTTCCCATCTTCGTTCCACGTGAGTGCCTAGT